AGCTTCATTCCTCTCTAGCATACATTTCCATTGTTCAGTGATGCATTTCCTGCCTCTCTACGAGTTACCTCTATCTACTCCTGTGAGGCACTTCCTATTCCTGTTGGATGTGTATAGTTATATTTTTGATGGCTTGTATAGTGTTTTAACTGCCTTTTGATTAAGCAACACGTGCTGCAGACCCGAAAATCAGCTGGCCAGCAGGAGGCGTGTGCGCATGCGTGGTGGAGCTCAGCTGGGGCGACGACTCGCGTGCCGGCAGAGAGGCCTCCATGTGCCACCGATTCGCCATCATGGATCTAGAGAAAAGAATACTGTTGATTTCATACATTTCTCTGTCTACCACCAAATTATTTTCTTTCTGAATGAATGATAAAAATACATGTTGGACTCAGGTGGTGGTACAAAGACTGTTTCAATTTGGGGACAGTCAATCTTTCTCAGCCCAATCCACCTCACAGAGTTGTTATTGTGGCGAAAATAGGAGGAAGAATATATTGGATATGTTCGCTGCCTTGAGTTATTTGTAAAAATAATAAAGGTGGGATACATACTAAATAAAATACGTATATAAGAAAATTATCTAAAGATAAATCAATAAACAAGGCAATCCAATTGTTTCACTGTGTTCCTTTGTACAATTCTTAAGGCAGAACATTGAAAGCAGCTGTATAAAACCATTCTGTCACCAAATGACAGAATATATATTATGCTGCAGTGATTTCTATTGTATGCTTCTCTGCAGAAATGATAGGGCAGATTTACTTCCTGTATGTTGGGGCTGCTGAACTTATTTTTGGCAAACAAAATTCACTCTGAATAAGCTTGTCAGAGGTCTACATGACAGCAGTGAGCAGGGACAGGACACGCAAGGCATATATTTTCCAACAATTTTTTCTACATAAAATCCATTCAATCATGTATAAACACATTCTACATAGTTATATAAATTGCTTTCTCTTCTTATGTGCCTGTAGATATTTTAATTAGACTTTTAATTAATTGGGCTTATAGCAAACAGTGGGCGATACGTTCACATTGAAGGTTGGGTACGGTTTAAAATGATTGATGTTTACCTTCTCCAGCACAAACTTCCTTTCTTTGAAACCGCCCACTAGGTCATAGTGTTTCTTTGTGTAAACATCTACTGGTTGATACCAATGGAGGCTCTTCTCAGGCGTCTTGTAATCTGGTAAAGTCAGAGGTGGGTTTCTGTCGGTTCGCCCCAGATTGGATGAACTGGTAGTGGTGTCGGCGGAAGGCTCTGCCCACCCGCCCGGAGGCTTCTGCGCATGCGCGCACACGCATGAGTGAACCGGTAGTAAAATAAATTGAAATCCACCACTGGGTAAACGTTAGTACAGTATTAAATTGTGCATTGCTATGGCTTGTAATTAGAAAAGGTTTAGGAAAAGGGAGTCCACTAAATGGGGAGGCTCATCAGCTGCAGAGGTATCTCATAATACAGGTACTCCTTGATTTACAACAGTTCATTTAGTGACTGTTCAATGGCACTGAAAAAAGTAACATGACAATTTTTCACATTTACGACCTTTGTAGCAGCCCTATTCACATGATCAAAATTCAGATGCTTGGCAACGGGTTCATATTTATGACCGTTACTGTGCCCCAAGGTCAAGTTTTTGCAACCTTTTGACAAGCAAAATCAATGGGGAAGCCAGATTCACTTAACAACCTTGTTACTAACCTATTGACTGTAGTGATTCACTTAATGCCTGTGGCAAGAAAGATCGTAAAATGGGGCAAAATTCACTGTACAGTGATCTACTATATTGTGAATAATACATTTCAGCTAATATTCTATTATTTATGTAAATATTACACCTTAATCTCTTGCATGATAATACCATAATACTACAAGATGAATTCCTTACTTCCTTCATTTATTCAAATGTATTAACAGCCCAACTCCAACGGACTCTTTTTTTTATTTAAAAAACCTCGTTATCTAACAATGATGGCTAACCTTTTTGTCGTCGCATACAGAAAGTGTGAGAAAGAGCGTGTGTTCACGTGCTCACACCCATAATGCAATATGTGCATGACACCCCAATGTTCTCCCCCCCCCCCCCGGCATATACACATGAGTCCTCTATGTCCTCTTTTGGGCCTAGTAGGCATCCCTACAGCCTCCTGGGACCAAAAATGGGCCGCTGGAGAGGGGGGCAGGCCACACACCCCGTGACTCCCCTGCACATGCGCACGTAATCCCCCATCTCTCCCACATGTGTGTGTGTCTCCCGCAAAGACCCAAAAATCAGCTGGCCGGCGGGATGTTTTGGACAAAATGCCACTCGGTGACCTTAAGCCATTCACTCTCCAAGGGGTCCTTGGTGCTCTCTGAACTTAGCTGCAAATGTTTCATTACCCAACCAGATAACATCATCAGTGCTAGCACTGATGAATAAATGAAGCATCTGCAAGGAAACAACCAAGCTCAGAGAGCACTAAGGACCCTCATTTCAACCTTAAGCCACAAATATTCTCCTCTACCAGCATTCATTCATCCTCTACCTCAACCCGAGGAGGCAGGTAGTCACAAGGTTAGGAAAGCTCACAGATATGTTAGGTATGACTACTACTAAACAACATACAGGAGTGATGTCATTGGCAAAGATGCCACTGAAGGGAATCCCCTTTCCATGCTATCCCAGTAGTATTAGAAATTTGAATTAAATTATTAATTTTTTTTTTACAAGGCCTATGTTCTTATGCAATAAATAAATCTGCCTGACTCTGCATGGCTTACGGATCCTAGAACTAGAACGGTAGTTAAGATTAAAAACTAATCATTACTAAATAATACAACTGTAGTGAGTATGGAGGATGACCTTGGCAGAGATATGCAAGCTCCATTGCAAGATAACAAGGGGCTGAAGCATTTTTAGATTCAGAGAAGCCAAATAACCTTCAGCTTAGACAGGTGCCTCCCTAATTCACTGAAGTATAAGGAGGGGGAGGAACAGCATAATCAGACTTGCACGATTCTGTTATTATAGCCAATTGGTATAAAAGTAGTTTTAGCCTTTTTGTGGAGATGTTTTTCTGGTCTGGTCTACATAGAGGGAGTGACAATAAGTGTAATAAATAACTCATGGCGACCTACCAATTTCATTTCCTAAGAGTTGGGGCCCAGAGCAAGCAATAGCACTAAGGCTTATATACCACTTTATAGTGCTTTACAGCCGTCTCTAAGCAGTTTACAGAGTCAGCCTATTGTCCCCAACAATCTGGGTCCTCATTTTAGCCACCTCGGAAGAATGGAAGGCTGAGTCAACCTTGAGTCAGTGAGAATTGAACTGCCAACCCCCCGGCAGTCAGCAGAAGTAGCCTGCAGTACTGGATTCTAACCACTGTACCACCATGGAAGCCTTCTCTTCCAATTCTTAAAGACAGGTAGACACAACAAAGAGAAAATGGACCTGCAAATATCCAGGCCCTAAACCATAAAGGTCCCGAACAGTAAAGGACTTTCAAAGTGACAATGGGCACCTTGAGTTGCACCCAGAAACAAACTGGCAATCAGTACAGTTTGCAGAGCAGAGGTGAGACATGGGTTGGTTGATTAACACCTTTTCCAAGGCACCTGGGGGTAGAACAAGAAACAATGGGTGGAAACTAATCAAGGAGAGAAGCAACTTAGAACTGAGGAGAAATTTCCTGACAGTTAGAACAATTA